TCGTTGTGCAATTATATCAAGATTTACGATCAAGTTATCATTCGTATAGTTATCTTTGATTATTATTACTCATAGATTTATGGGCGTAAAAGTCTGATTATTAAAATAAACCTCATTATTGGATTGGCAAAGAATATTTAATTTTGAAATTCAAGTCTTAAACTTGTACCAGCTTTTGAACTTGACACATGAGTAGCCTATGCGTCTTAAGCGTTATCTCGAGAAAGAACGATTACACGTCTGAATGAAGCGTGATGATCTCAGCTTTGCAACGTGCTTGCGGTCTTTAGGTCTACAACAAGTATCGTAAACCGTAAGCTGTAAAAGTTGGTCAATCACAATCGATTATTACAAGAATAATCGGCTATGATTGGTCATTTCTTACGGCTTACGACACCTATTATAGACCAAGCTTGACCCGAGATCGTCTAGAAATAAAGGGATCGACGAGCGCATTGAGTCGCGCCCTCTATCGCCTCGGCACTGCGGCAGTAAAATCGGTGGCTGCGAGCGCTGCGAGTGCTGAACGGCGAGCTCCTCTCAACACGACCCCCACCACATCGCATTCCATCACGTAGTCTGTTTTCGTAACGCACCTGTCATTCACGATCTTCCACTATCGTTACGTTCGCCGCCGACCTTGCGACCTTGCGACCATTCACGCCTGCGCGCTATGCGACAACAAACATGGCCGCCCGAGCACATGGCCAGTCGAGACCATGTGGTCGTCTGTCTCGCTCGCGCGCATGTTGCAATTTCGAAAAGTTATTGCTCGGAAACGAGTTGACGTAGAGACGTACAACAAAGAGCAATCTTCTTGGCGCGACCCCATGTGCGCCCGTATTGTTTTTTTTACTGCCGACTCGCGAGGGACGGCCACAGCCAAATGTAGCTATAGATTGCAGTCGGCGAACTCCTTACGCATCTCATTCTCATTCACGACAGGAGAAAGCAGATTCTTTTTTAGACCAAGATTTTCTTTCGTTTCTTTTACGATTTCGACGTTAATGTTATCACTGCGGATCGGTGCAGAATAATCTACATGAGATTCATTTATTTCCCCTGCGATCGAATGAGCGTTTTCAATTTTCATCGTTATTTTATTGACGATAAATTTTTAATCTTGCCCTGCGCTGTTCTCAACGAACGTACCTGATGTATCAATACCAAACATCAAATAATAATGAAATATTTACACTGTCGGTGAATAATCTCATATTTGATTGCTAATCAATTCGAATTGGAATTAATACCTGATGTTGACGCGCTTCGATACGCCGACAGCGATCTTGCGATGAAAACAGTCGAACTGTGAAATAAATATCGTCGCATCTTGTGCAAGTAGTATTCTTTTGGTTGAATAATTCACGCGTTGATTTTTATAGTACATTTAGATTAAACAAAGAGACGCTGTTTGCGCTCACATTGTATAATTTATCTCATAAATGCAACAACGAGGGAAACGGTTTGTTCCCAAGATAACGTTATATCGGGCACGATGTTACACAGTCCCGAGTACACATCGCGGCGTTAATACATACGCGGAACGTTAATATTATGGTATTATAGGGGGAGGCGAGAGGAACAGTCTTTTCGCGCATCCGGCATGTAAATGAGTGTAGAGGTAGATATGCAAATCGTAGAGTGGCGCGCGCGAGTGACACCAACGTATTCTACGATCAACATATTTCGCGGGCGCCGCGGTACATCCGCGCGGCTGGCATTTCGGCTCGGTCGCTTTTAAAACGGGAATTAAAGCAGCCGATGTGCGCGCCGAGACTTATTAACTTCGCGATGGAACACGTTGATTGGAACACACGCGCTTCTAATCAAGACGAGTATAATTCGCGAAAATTTGCAAATGCACGCGTTGTATTTAACGATAAATGCCAGGCGTTCTCCCGACTATATCGCGCGACAATTTCGCTAATTTATCTGATGTGCGGTCCAATGTAACTGAGAGCCACTTAAATTAGTAGATATCGATTTTATCATCATCGTCGTGTTTAATATCTCACGCTGACCCTTTCCTCCTGTTTCTCTCCCCCGCCTCTTCTCTCTTTACCTCTCAATGCACGTCAATTTAGAAACAATCGATATCGGCATGTCCAAAAAAAGACTCCTCGTGATTTTCTAGTCATAGAATTATAGATTTCCGAAGAGGGGTGTCGTTATACCGACGGTAGAATGGCAAAAATGGAACGATCAATAAGGAATATTGGCGATTCCCAATTCGACGGAGCAGACAGGCAGGGAAGGGGGGAGACTGAAGGAGTCCCCCGATCAGAAATTCAGATTGAATCGAGGCATGCGGGAGAAACATTTCTGTCGCACGGAGATCGCAATAAGGAAGGTACTGTTTTGAAAAATGACGTAAGAAGCCGGAGAGTTCTTGACTTAAAGTAGACGGGCGGGAAGAAATGTAGACGCGAGAGAGAAGGGGGAGGGGGAGAGTGTTAAACGGTCGAAACGGCATTTCCATAGCGATCCGCCCACACACTTCTCTTCGCGTGAAAGAAAAATGACGGCAGCCTCAGGTGGATCTGATATATACAGGGTGTCTCAAGTTACGGCTCGAACGAGTTTTCCGGCGTGGATGTAAACGAAACTTTGAAGTAACTGCAAGGAACTTCGCTCGAAATCTTTTTGAAATTGACTAAAAAATGAGATTTCATTGGCAAATCTGCGATGAAGCTACTTCGAAGTTCGATTCGCAACACCGCGGACTTTGATGTGTTTTTTTTTTATCGGGGAAAGTTGTTGAAGGTGATATTAGGCAAATTGATCTCCGCGCTAAGAGGAAATCAATACATAAAAACTGTCATACATAAACTGTCATACATAAAAACTTTACTCAAAGGATGCAGATATTTTCTCACGTCGTATTGGTTGCACTGGATTACAAATACTTTTGAAAGCATTTTTGTACGTCCAAAAATGAATAGGAGTATTACTAAATATGAAAACAAAACGATAAGAAATTTCAAAACTGGCATCTCGAGCTGTCAGTTAGAGTAAATATTGGCCTAGTACGAAAGTTCTGCAGTTTGTGTATATGGAACTTGAGTTTACTCCTCGCTCGGGAAAATTTCAACGAACATTTCTCTGCCTTTACAACTGGATTTATAAGCTTAAAAACACATAGAAGTTCGCAGAAATATTGCTATATACACGTGGTTATGTTTTCTGCTAAGTGTAGTAAAACAAAGCACACATTTCTTTAATACCTGTATAAACAAGAAATACGAAAAGAGTAGCATGTTCGTATTAATGCTTGTCTAGCACATTTAAAAGCTCAAAAATGTACAAGAAGTTTGCAGAAAGATTTCTATATGTACATTTCTATGTGATTAGGTTTTCTGCTAAGTATAATAAAACAAAATAGCGCTCATTTCTTTAGCACTTGTATGAACAAGAAATACAAAAAGAATAGCGTGGTCGTTTTAATACTTGTCTGACTTTAGAAACTTGAGAATATACAATAAGTCTGCAAAATTTTTATGGTTTTCTGCTAAGTGTAATAAGACAGAGCAGCACGCATTTCTATATGTATAAGAAATACGAAAAGAGTAGCGTGATATCGTGTTAATGCTTATCTAATATGATGACGATCGCCTCTAAAGTAAAAAACTACTAAGGCTTGGACATTAATAACACTGATATCTAACTTTGAACATTCTAATTGGTTTGATCCTTTAAAGTACAATATTTAAATTTCAAATATTTAAACTTTCAACGTAGAATATGCATGTACTTGTACAAACATTCTCTATATTGAAAGTTAAATATTCGTATTTAAGGACCAGAATAATAAGAATGTCCAGAGTTATTAAGTATCAGTGTTATTAGTATCAAGGTATTTGCCTTACGTCGTCAACATTTTGGGAATTTGTCATTTTCACTTTGGCAGCTCCTTAATTAAAAACGCAAATCGCGCGAATAAGAAGCCGCGACAATATCCGGGACATTCCGTACGTACGATTAGGAATATGCGATTTTGCGATACATCGTAAGCACCGCGATTTTCTTTTCTTAAATCACAATCCGATACGCAATTGGAAAATCATCGTAAAATCACGCCTGTAATTCAAAATCACTCATTGTAGTTAAGTATTTTATGCATATATCGCGCGACAATCTATGATATTTTATACTATCTAATCCAAACTTACACATTTAGAGACATAATAAGATTATGCCATTATAACAGCCTTAAAATGTCAAGTTGCGTTATTTTTTTTATATATGATTTTTATGTATATTTTTTATTTCAGAAAATTACGAAAAATTGTTACACTTGATATTGTTATTAATATTTTAATAAGAAAATTAATATTTTAATAAAAAGATCGATAAAAGTCTCGTTGTTTTATAAATAAATGTTAATAAATAATTATAATTAATTAAACGTGCAATAACACGTTTTTATATTGCATGTTTTAATAAGTCACTTTTAAAAACATTTGAAGATTAATAATTCGGAAATAAACAAGTTCTGTAAAATGTCTCCTATTATGTCCCGCGTAGAAAGCATAATAAAGTTAAACAATGTTTTTAAGATACATCATTTAACTTCGTTACATTTTCATTTCTAATTATTCTTTCACAATAAAACTTGTGTTTTCTTATAATGAATATTTCAAAAAATATTTTGATGAAAAGAGAGAGAGAGAGAGAAAGTTGATTTATTTATTTTTAATACGTTTAATATTTATTTAAATATTACGGTTCCCATCCTACCCCAGATACCCTCATGATTAAAAACTGCGTTAGCAATATAAAATTGCATTTGCGATATAAAATCGCGTGCGATTTAAAATCATATTTAGGACACAAAATCGTGATGTAATGTCGCGTTCGTTGCGGTTCTTAAAAAAGATCGCATCGCGGTACACAATTTCATAAATCGCACATCCCTACGTACGAGACTCGCGCGCGTAGAGGAGGTTCGCTCTCACATAGCGGCGTTGAGTAACACGCGAAATGCATTTCTGTTTCAGGAAGCGCATATATCATCAGATGGAGTGCGCCGCAGTTGATGGTCGTGGCGGTGCAGTACATCCTCACGGGGCCCTATATGCCTCCCTACGTGCCCCAGACGGCGAATTAAGACGTCCGCCGTGGAAAAGAAGTACCGTCGCGTACCGCGTTCATCCAAGAAGGTCGCCGTCGTTGTCGTCGACGACGACGGCGGCGGCAGCAACGAGGACAACGGCAATGACGAGGGCCTAAGAGTCCTGGGGGTGTTCCTACGATACACATACACACAGGTCGCATAATTCCCGCGGGGCACGCGCTTTTTGTGGAACCGCGTCTCGTAGCATGGAACTGACCGAATGACTGATGGATAAACGGACGAACGGACGGACAGGAAATGCGCTTGCGAGCGGGTAACTGGTTTACGATCGACACGATCTGCATCCGTTCTCGGGATAGTTTTCGATTTTGTTCGACGCCGACGCTCGCCGACTCCTATTATCACAATAATTGCAAAACATACAATTTCGTCTGCCACGGTCATGACTTTTGTTCCAGTTTATTAATCAACTTTAATCACCAATGTTTGGTTATTTTCGCTTTATTATCATTACAATACGCTCTATTAGTATTACACTACACTTTATTATTATTATTACCGTAGATTTAATTTCTATTTTTTGTTAGTCGTTACACGTAATCGTGTGACTTCTTTTCTGTCTGCGTATCTTTCTCCTCCTTCTATATTATATAATTAATTCTCATTTTTTCACCTTATATTGTCAAAAAGGTTACCCATTTGCAAATAATGAAATAAAAATCAGCGTTTCATTTTCGAGACAGTTTCCGGAATTTCTGTCTCGTTTCTGGGACAATTTTCGATTTTGTTTTCGCGCGCTCGCCGACTCTTATTACCACAATAATTGCAAAATATGCAATTTTGCCTGCCATGCCTTGCTGTTGTGACTTTTGTTCCAGTTTAATAATGAACTTTAATCATCAACGTTCTGTTATATTCGCCCTATTATCATTATACTACACTTTATTGCCATTATACCATGCTTTATTACCATTATATTACACTTTATTGTTGTAGATTTAATTGCTATTATTTGTTATTCGCTGCACGTAAATCGTGTCACCTGCGTATCTATATCTTTACTTATTTTTCGCCTTTTTACGTTATTATATTATATTAACAGCGTTACTCATTTACAAATAAAAAATAAAAAAAATATTTTGTTTCCGAGACAGTTTCCTGAACTATCTCTCTTCCAGAACAATTTCTGATTTTATTCTACGCGCTCCCATTACCAATAATTGAAAAATATGCAATTCTGTCTACCCTACCATGCCTTGTTGTCGTGACTTTTGTCCCAGGTTAATAATCAACTTTAATAATCAACGTTCTGTTACATTCGTTTCATTATTATTATACTGCACTTTATCACCATTACATTGCACTTTCATTATCATTATCATAAATTTAATTTTTATTTTTAGTTGCTCGCGCTACACGTAATGTATGATTTCTGCCTGCGTGTCTCTTTTACTTACTTCTTAAGTTTTTATTTTAAATTGTCACAATTTACTCACTGGCAAATAAAGAAAGAGAAATAAATGAAAAAATATTTCTCGCAAATGTGCGAGGAATGCAATCAAGTCTGTTCTCTTGTCACGAGCGTTGCGTACGGATCTCCATGGAATCGTATCGAGAATTTATGGAAGATCAATATGCGCTTTCATCGGGTTTCAAAAGAATAAATGCATATCTCTTTTGACGTAAGTGTATCATCATGAATCATTATTTTACGACACGGAGAGAATTCGCGAGTTGACTGAACGGTCGCACGAAAGAACAGCGCGGCTAAATTTGCGTGCAAAACCGACACGTGCACCGAGACGCCAACGTGTTACGCGCGATGAAGCGAGCCGTCTAAGAACTCTCTCTCTCTCTCTCTCTCTCTCTCTCTCTCTCTCTCTCTCTCTCTCTCTC